AAAAAAAAAAAAAAAATTTATCTGTTACTATGTTTTAGTGTTAAGTTAAAAATCTTGACACTTCCACAGGAGACATGGCATTCTAGTTACTTTCTTGCTATAAGTAAGAACATTAGTGTTAGAGGAAGAGAGCCCTTCCTAAGAGCTCAATAGCTAGCTGTAAATATTACTGACCACCTCCCGCCCCCGTAACTCCTGTCTTCTTCATTTACTCATAGAAAATGGCAAATGGATTCATCATTAGAGTGGCTCTAGGTTATGGCAAGAGAAAACGGAGCAAACACACTCATCCCACAGTGCTGAGTGGTCAGAGGAAAGGGCAAGATGCAGAAGGTACCAGTAACTTTTAATTCTTTAAAAGGGAATACTGCCGGGCACCTGGGTGGCTCAGTTAAGTGACTGCCTTTGGCTCAGGTCACGATCCTGGAGTCCCAGGAATGAGTCCCGCATCGGGGTCCCTGCTCGGTGGGGAGTCTGCTTCTCCCTCTGACCCTCCCCCCTCTCATTCTAATAAATAAATAAAAATCTTAAAAAAAAAAAAAAAGGGAATGCTGCCTTCTATTAATGTTTTAAATCCTGGTAGGTCAAATGCAGTTAATTTGAAAGTGAATTTTCACCCTTTAGTGTGTGGACATTCTAACTAGAAACCTCCCACATTTATTTAGTAGTTGTGCAAGTTAAACTTTCTATTATAAAAAGTCTAAACCCACTGTTTCTTTATGAGGAATACAACATTCTATTTACCATCAGTTTGCCTACCTCGCCAATAGTATACTTCAGCTGTCTTGCCCGAACAATCATCTCCATCTGGAACACATAGCCTTTAGAAACACATTTTTCTATTAATTTCTGTAGAACTTCTTTTCGGTATAACCTGTGAGAAATTAAAATATATATGAACACCTAGGTAAATACACTTGCCTATATGTATCCTAACTTTTTGAAAGTTCACTGGTATTTATAAAACCTAAAACTTTCACTAGACATTTGCATGCAGAAAAACTGTCACAGCTTACGATTATGATACATTTGTCCTGAACTGGAATGGTCATGAAATATTTGGTAAATAATTTAGAGTAATTTTGAAAATGAATTCTCAGTATCTTTTAGAGAATTATTTTCCTACTATACTACCAGAAATTGTAATAGGGTAAAGTGAATCATTTGAAGTAGAACCACCCACTGTTTTAAGTTTTTAAATTTTCTTAAAATTTATTTTTAAAGTTGAACGAAGAGAAACCATTCCAAATACTGCAACAATAGAGTTGATAGATGATGAATAATCAACAATATAAAGTAGATGACAAGAGCGAACCCAGTAATTAACAGGTGTTTCCTCATAAATGTCTGAGCAGGTTCTATTTCCCAAGATGTACTAAATAAATTTCCTGAGATAAACGAAGTCCCTTTAGGGGACTTAACAGGGAGCTCCTGAAGAAAGTGACTTCCCAGCTCCTCTCTCTTACTTTGTAAATCTGATGTGCTCCGTGTTTGGCCTGCACATCTGCCCATTTACAGGCATCTAACTGTGACCTCAACTGGTGATAGCTGTATCCTACCAGGACTGCCTCAATCCTGCAATGCCTAGGTTCCTGTCTTAACCTTGTGTGTCAATTCTAACAAAAGACCAAAGAATTAACATTATTTAATGGAAAAAAGCAAATACCAACTAAAGTAAATTATCAACTAATGCATGAAGTTTGGACCTTAAAGTAGATGAACAGGCCATCTTATAGTTTCAGAGATTTAAAAAAATGTGGCAGTCTTTAGTCATTTGGCATGGTCATACAAAACAGTTCATCTTCTATGGCCAAGTCTAAAATTAAAAATAACCCACCCCCGCAAAACAAACAAAAATTACCCTTCCCCCAACCTGAAGGAGGCTTTGTTCCAATTAAACAAGAATTTTTTTTTAAATTAAAAACATGGAGAGCAAGGCAACTGAAAACAACCTAAACATTAACTATTTTAAGCTCTTCTGTGGACAGTGCTATAAATATTCATATGAATTGCAGAAAATTGCTGGAAGAGGTGCTGTTCTTTGGAGCCTATCACCAGTGATAGCAATGTTCTGAATAAGAAGTGAGCAGCCACCTTGGCCCCTGAAGCCCCCCCCCACTTGGGGCTGAGCACCAATGTGAATGTTAACAAGCAAACTAACCTAAGCCCTACCTTTGATGCTCTTTAGAAAGTACATTTTTCCTTAAGAAGATGCTCAAGCCTCATTAGCAACTTCTAAGGAACTTCAGTCTGTCTTTGTGTGTTCCGGAACAAAAAAGCGGTAGAACTGAAAAGCATTTCTTAAAAATAAGCCACTGTATACCAAGAAATTTAGGCAAGAAGTTGTAAATAATAGAAAATGTAAAATTACAGTTTTTACTGTACCTGAAACTTCCTGTTAAATCAGATGCTCCTGGTCTGAGCAAAATCTGAGTTATAAAATTGGCCCCGCGGCTGTTTAAATAAAACAATTAGATTTTCTTTATATAATACATTTTCTAAACAAGAGAAACACATCCCAGAGTGCTAAAACTGTTACACTAATTTCATAAATGCAACACTATTTCACAAAAATGTCAATTTTACAGAAATTTTAGTCAGTAAAGATGGGGTCTTTTATTCTTCGAATGTGACATTTAGAGGGGACCTATAAAACAATCATTCTTCTAAGCTTTTTAGGTAAGAAAGGTTAACGGATTTTTAATTCAACTTGCTTATTTGCCACCAGTCCTCATTTAAAATTATGAACATCTCTCAGACAGCAAAAGGGATCAGGGATTTGGAGTTTCCTTTTCAGATTTTAATAAGTACAAGGGATCACAGGTTTCAATTAGCAACAGATCAGTCTACATAAAAATGGCACTTTTTTAAAAAAGAACGTATGCAAGTGGGCAAGGGTTTTGGTTTTTGGCAATCTCTGGAAATTGAACAAAGGTTCATTCCAAAACTGTTTCAGTCTACTTGGGCCGCTATAATGAAATACCACAGACTATGTGGCTTAAACGACAGATACTTATTTCTCCCAGTTCTGAAGGCGGGGAAGTCCAAGATCAAGGTACAGCAGACTTGGTTCCTGGTGAGAACCCTCTTCTTGGCTTACAGAGGGCTGCCTTCCTGCTGTGTGCTCTCACAGGGGAGGAGGGCAACAGAAGCCAAGCTCTCTGGTCTCTTCTGGAAAGGGCACTAATCCCACCATAAGTGCCCCATGGTCACTGAATTTAATTACCTCCCAAAGGCCCCACCTCCAAATACCAACACTTTGAGGGTAAGGTATTTTAACACATAAATTTTAGCAGAGACATCCAGTCCGTAACAATGACAGGGTATGTGCTTCAAACACAACTAAGTATCAATTTCAAGCTATTACTAATAGCTATGATAAACATTTCAAAAAGATCTGAAGTGCCCTTGGAAAAAGTGACTTTTGTATTGCAGCTATTTTAGTGAGCTCCGATTTAGAAAAAAAAGTTTTCTGGGGCAGACTGGAAAGAACAGTTTCTCTCCTAAACCAAGGTAACTACCAAGGCCCTCCCTAGGAAAGATTATTTTTATACAAATAACATGGTTAGGGATATAGCTGGGATAATAGCTAACAAAAACATTTTCCCTTTCAAATTGCTTCCAATAACAAAATAATTCTAGCACATAGTTTACCTCTCAAAATGGGTTTAATCAAAGGAAAGTGAGCGTATATGCATATACGTGTATGTGTACATATATATTTGTATCTCTAATCAAGTGAATATATTTCTAAATTGGGGTTTTTATTTTTTTTTAAGATTTTATTTATTTATTTGAGAGAGAGAGAATGAGAGCGAGCGAGCACATGAGAGGGGGGAGGGTCAGAGGGAGAAGCAGACTCCCTGCCGAGCAGGGAGCCCGATGCAGGACTTGATCCTGGGACTCCGGGATCATGACCTGAGCCAAAGGCAGTAGCCTAACCAACTGAGCCACCCAGGCGCCCTAAATTGGGGTTTTTAAATTAAAATGCTGCAAGAGGCAGATGGCCTTGGACTGAAATTCTAGTTCATACAAATGAGTCCGTGGGCAAGTGATTACATTATCTTTCTCAGGAGTATATACTATAAATCAGTGCAGACATTAACAACTAATGACACACACAACTCAATACAACTTAATGATCCAATTAAAAGTTGTAAAAGGTCTCTGATTGGGACTCCCTAGTTTTAAAATAAGAGCTGTGATGACCAAATTCAGAGGGCCTGAGAGATCATTCACTTGTTCTCAACACTGGCTGCACAACAGAATCATTTGGAGAGCCTGTGAAAAATACTGATGGTTTTGCCCCACCCGTGGAGATCCATTTGCATGGTCTACAGTGTGTGTGCACACACACAAAGAAAGGGAAAATGATAAGGAACAGTAATGTATGATTTTCTCTTTACATGATTCCAATATTCAGCAGGATTAAAAACCACTGTTTTATCCAACCCCTTCATTTCACTGAAGATTGAGGCTCTTACAGGTCTTAAATGACTTGCCCAAGGTTCCACAGTTAAGAGGCAGAACTGTGATTAACTTAACAGAATCTTCAATAGGAATGAAAGGGTAATAAAAAACACTATTATTATTAAGAATATGTATAAAGGTATGCTGTCACATATTAAGTAGTAAGCTACATAGATCCCTTAAAGATCTCATCATCTCAACAACCACAAAAAGGTTAGATATAGATTAAATATGGTCAGAAATTCTTTGTGGGTCTTCCCATCAAGAAGTGGATTCTCCTTCCCCATCCCTTGATTATGGGTGTGTGTGTGTGTGTGTGTGTGTGTGTGTGTACTACTCAGTCCCAAAATATACATGAATAGTTCATTTAAAGCTGAAGGTACAGTAGAATAAATTTTGCTGAATTAGACCATTTCTAACAAAGGTTTATGCTGATTTTTCCTTAGTGAAAAATATCCAAAATAAAATACTTTAATCATAGGAAAAATTGTACTAAGGAGCTATCTGTGAGTACATATTGGAAGTTAACAATCTAATCCCAGAAATCCCAAGGCAGCATGATAATGTAATCCAAATACCCATCATAAACATATTCCCAATAGTTACAATAAAAACTAGACAAATTGCAGCACATGTATATACCTGATTATTTTTCTTTTCAAATCCCAGCCATATACACCTCCATTTCCTTTGTAACGAGTTCCAGAGACAATGTCAAAATTACCCTCCTTCTGCTTCCTGCAGAAAAAAATAAATTAGCTGTCAATTAGAAAAAGCTATTGAGCTTTCAAAAGTTACTTTCATGAGCTACACAAAAAGAACTTTTAAGATTTGCATAGGAAAAAAAAAGAAAAGAAAAAAAAAAAAAGATTTGCATAGGAAAAACTACACCAAGAAAACAAATGAACGATACCACTCAGAAATCTTTCAACGTTAAGATTTTCAAACCTGATATTTTTCCTTTATTAATTTCTAAAACTAAAAAATAGTAGTACTTGCTGACTGCACCATGTGAAACTGTCCTAAAATGTAATTCCCCTCCATTCTGTTCTTGGCCCTACTAATAAGTAAACAGTGCTAAAACAGCCTGGTAACCCTCCAGACCTTTCTCTTTGCAGAAAAATAAAGACACACATAACCCCAGGGATTCTGGTTGCTTTAACAAAATTGGAACCCAAAAAAGTGTATTCTGCAACTTGCCTTTTGTCAGTTAACAATATACATAATGGAATCATGAACATCCCTGGAGGTCAACAGAGAATTTCCCCATTCTTTCTAATAGCTGCAAAAATATCCCATGGAACAATGGACTTGTATACTTGCATGGTTGTTTTCATGGTGGGTCTCCCCACCCCCAACAACACAACCACAATGAATAGTGTGGCAACGTTCTTATAAACTTACATCCTGGTGCTTAGACAACCCAGAGTGGAACATAAGAGAATTGCTAAAACAAAGCTTACAAGTATTTTGAACAGGTTATCACCAGAAATTACTTTCCAAAAAGGTTGTAGCAACTCACACTTCCTCCGGCTAGATTGTGTGTGTCCACTTCCCACCATCTTATCAGTGCTAGATGTATTGCTCTGTAAGTTTGTAATTATGACAAACTAATGGGTAATAAAATACTGCTACAGTTATTTCACTTCATGTTTCCCTGACATCCCCCAGGGTGTCTTCCCTCGGGCTTATTAGCCATTGGTCTTTCTTCTACATATGGCCTGTCTGTATCTTTCACCCATTTTCTATTCCCCTGGTCCCATTTCCTTCTCAGGTCAAAGGGCTCTTGGGAATTAGATATACAAGCAGAGAAGGTATCTCTTGAGGTGACTTTATGCAGAGATCAAAGGATGAGAAATAGCTGGCTATTAAGGAGCAGGAAAAGAGCATTTTAGGCAAAGAACACAGCGCTCCGTGTGACACAGAAATGGAAGGAGTACGCCTGCAGCAGAGGGAATGGAGGGGAGAGGCACAAGATGAGCTCAGAAAGGGAGGCAGGGGCCAGATCACATAGCGGTTTGAGGGGCAAGGAAAAGAGTTTCTTCCCATCTGTTAATGAGAACTCGCTGAAGTGATTGAAACAGGAGAGTAACATTACTTAATTTTGTTTTAGTATATTTAGCTTACATTAACAGTTTCCCAATTCTTATCCTGAGAGGTTTCATGTTGTCTTGGATTCTCTAAAAATACAAGTATATTGCCTGCAAATAAATACCATTTTGTATTCTTACTCAATATTCATACTAAATTCTTGTTCTTACATCACTTAAAATGTCCACATATAATGACAGCTAGTATTCCTACCTTGATGTATTTATTAATGATTCAACATTTCACCATTTAGTAAGATGTGTGTGTTAGGACTGGGTTGTCTTTATCAAGTTTAAGTGGTTTCCTTTTATTTCCACTTCCAAGTTTTATTAGAAGTGGCTAGTACAGTTTATCAAATGCCTTTTAGCATCTACAGACTTAATGATGCTGCTTTCTTTGCTAATGTGATAAATTATGTGGATGAATTCCTGATGATGAACCATTCTGGCATTCTTGGAATAAACCCTATTTGTTCATGCTGTTTTACCCTTATGATGTAGAGCTTAATTCCATTTAACAGGGAAGTCATCTTCCATCTTTTCCTGTAGTCTGGGAGAATTTAGATAATAAAGGAGTAATTATCTGTTGATTAGTCCCTAAAATATATCATTTAGCCACATATCTATAGTCACGAGCCTCAGATCTATATGTTGGTTTCATTTCTGACAACAAACTTAAAATAGCATGTGCATTTTTAATTAAAATAAGTCCAAAATTAACATAGGACAAATGATTTGAATAATTCTTTCAAATATTAAAAATACCTACCTAATGAATTCAGGAATAAATTTTGGCTGAAATTTAGAAAAAATAAACATTAAGTCAGTAAAACAGGCTTAGACTATCATGAATAGCTAATAAAGAATGATACCACTTACATGGTGTGAGAGATCAGCATCCATAATAATTATATAGTTTCCTGTGGCATGTTTCATTCCGTGAATATATGCAGTTCCTAACAATGAAAATATATCCATTAAAGAAAGCCATCAGAAATGCTTAAATATACACACGAACAGGGAAGAAATTAAGCATCCGAAAAGCATACATCAGTCCCTTAAAGGTGATACTAACCTATAATTAAATTCTATTTATTCTCAATCAAAAACATCTCTCCATTCCATTATTTCATCTGCAACTTCACCTTAGTCCCAGGCACCACCTTCTGATGCTCAGCTCTCTACCTAAAAGTGTTTCCCTGCTTCTGTTCTTCCCTTCACTCCTAGCCCATTTCCACAAAAGCTATCCCCTGAGTGTAGTCAACACTGTAAGCCTAGTACACTAGATGGGTCTGGTATTTGGGGTCAAAGGCACAGCCAGCAATTACTTAGGCACTTTCATGCCTAAAAGTTCCCTAGTTCCAAACCCCACAGTCTTATTAGCAAGGCTGAACTCTTCTAACTTCTTTTGCTAAAAAGTGAGGATCACAGCTTTTTGGATTTCCACTGACTGGTCAGGAAGTCCTGGTTGCTTTCACGGCAGTTTCCAGATTATTTCAATCCCAAAGAACTTCTGGGTTCAGATATTCAGAACACTTCATGATGCCCAAGAACTGATGATCTTCAAGACAGCAAATATTCAATTTTTAAGAACCGTGTTTCCTCCATGCTGGCTCAATTTTTCAGTAAAATTATACCACTTCTCAACATAAGCAACTGTAACCAGCATCAGAAATAAAGGCACTGAGATACTCATCTCAGAATGCCTGAGTTCATCTGAGATTTTCTATAACCCCCTATGTTTAAAAGCTAGAAAAGTTTTCTTTTTTAAAAATAAAGAATAACTTTTTACATTTTGCCATTACTTATAAAGAAATGTTCAAAGAGTTACAGCTAACGCGGCGTGCTGGTTTTCCAAAACACTTGCCCTCAGATCCCTTCTCTGGCCCTGCCCTACTCTGTTCTACATTGCATGGAACTACAGTTCCTAGGTGCTCTCCTCAACTGGTTGTCAGATGGCTTTGGGAGGCAGGAGGGATAGTTTCCAGGAGAGGAAAAGGAAAAGTATAAGTGTGTCCCCCCTCTTACTCTGCCTCCCAGCATTGACTGGGTATCCTCGACAGCTCTAGCTCCTGCCAGGTATCCCCCACTCCATCATTCTAGCCCCTTCTAAATAGCCTGGGTTCCTGGGCTCCAAAAACACCATCTCCTCCTATTGTTGCTCCATTCTAGGGATGGTAGCAACCTCTAGCTATTACTAATTTGAGTAGCCTCACTGTTCCATTCCATTTGGCTTCTCAGCATTCCTTCACCCGTGTAACCAGATTCTTTGTATTAAATTCCCTACATTGAAAGACTGACAGTGGTTTCTGTTTTCCCAAGTGGACCTTGACTGATACAGGCAACTCAGGTTAAACCATATACATGTCATTAAAATCATTAAAAACCATCACAGGAGGTCACTGTATTTTGGCCCTGTTCCAAATTAGGAAAATACACACTGGATAATCTTACCAAGGCAAGAAGCAAGTATGAGGGGTGAGAGGTTCTACTTACCTAGGCCTAACTTTTTCTCCCGTGGTCTCAGAAGCTGCAAGAGTAAGAAAAGCATTTTAACACAAATACTAAAAATAATCTCACTAATAAAAAATTTTTCATAGCTGTCTACTCCTTTTAACCGAAATATAGCTGCATTTATTAGAACTTACAGCAGAGTATGTTTAACATTTTTTGCCAAAGTAAAAAAGTGTTTAGTAACAAATCAAATGGTTTAACAGCTTGGAAAAACAACATTCTTTTACCCCAACCCTGCAGGTCAAATTTTAAACATTTTTTTCTGGTGCTATCCACCAGAAAACAGCAGGGAAACAATGTTACCTCTATTACTTGATTTACCGTTTTGAACAATATCTGTTGATTCCTTCTCCTAAGAAAATCAAGGATGTAACTCACTTATCTTATACCTTCTTTGAGTATTTGATAGCCACGTCTGTTTTCTCAATCTCTTTTGTGATTTTATTTATTTATTTATTTATGTTCTTGATTTCCCCCCCTTTATTTTTTTCAGTTACAAAAATAATACAGGTTACAGTTACAAGTCAGACAATATATAGTCATTCATTAGTTAAGGCATTCAGGTTGGTTCCAGGTATTTGCCATTACAAATATTGCTACAATAAAGATACTTGTACATATATCCTTTTGTAGGGGTCCTGTCATTTCTGTAATTAGCATCCCAAAAGTGGAATCACTGGCTGAAAGGGTATGCACACTTTTTTTTCTGGATTCCTTGGTTGATTTTAAATGCTGACATCACTCCATCAACGTATCCTGACTTTATTCTTGGAAGACCTCATTACATTCTCTACTGGCCCAATGACATGACTTTAGGGTTATATGCTTAACAAGAAAATTAAATTGTTTTTTTCTTTTCTTACTTTTTGTCAATCACTTAGTTTTTCTACCTTTTTTTTTTTTTTTTTTTGCTTCATATATAAACCTTGACTTCTTGTTTAGCTTTTTCCTTTGTCTGGAAATTTTTGAAAAAGTAGAATGCCAGGATTTGGACTCTAAGTTTCTGAGGTATGGGGCTCAAACAGACTCACTACCGAGCCCATCTTATCCCCTTCTGCATTTGCCAGTGTATAGGCAGGCCACCTCAGACTGCAAATCTCTCTAAACAAAGTATTTTCAGTTCAATTCAACCAGGATAGACTTTTTTTTTCTAAACTTCATGCAAACTGCTGTAGGTCTTGGGGAGGAACAAAGATAAAATACATTCCTGCTCAATGAGCTCTTATATAGAAAAGAACTAGACAATCATGTATAGTAATTATAATTCACTGAACAAAATCAAACAAGATATATCAGGTTTTATTTTTGTGACTGATGATTACTGGCAAAATACTGACCTGGTATCTGCCCTGAAAAAACAAATCCTTTAAAGTTCACCTTAGATTTTCTTTTTTTTAAAGATTTTATTTATTTATTTGACAGAGAGATAGACAGAAGAGCACAAGCAGAGGGGGTGGCAGAGGGAGAGGGAGAAGCAGACTCTGCACTGAGCAGGGAACCCGATGCGGGACTCGATCCCAGGACCCTGAGATCATGACCTGAGCCGAAGGCAGACGCTTAACCATCTGAGCCACCCAGGCACCCTAAAGTTCACCTCAGGTTTTCTATAAACCTGTTTCAGTTGGAAAAATATTTTTTTCTCAAGTTTTTATAAAACATAAACCATGCTGCATGATAGAGTACTATGGAACAGTTAAAAGAATGAGATAATTTAGTGATAAAAGATCTCTCAGCTATAGTTAAAAATCAACAGAATGATACAGAAAGATTACATTTATGTTTAAAAACAAAAAAACACCACATTGCCTAGTTCTAACAAATGTAGACACGTACACATACATGCACAAAGGTCTGAGGCAACCCACACCAAGCTGCTGACTGGGGTGTCCCCTGGAGAAGAGATTAGGAGGTGGACCACGAAATGCTCATCAAAGGCAACTTCAGTTTTATCAGCAACTTTTTCATTTTCTAACAAGAATGTAGTTTTAAATTTCTTATGCAATAAAAAGTACCCATTGTTGCACTGTTTTACTTTCAAATCCTTAGTTCCACCCCCTCCCGTTTTTGAGGCCTCACGTCAGTAAGGATGGCAGAAAGCAGTGAGGGGCACGACAGAGCTCGTCTCACAGCCAACAGGAGAGCTGGTGGGAACTCACACAAAGTGTGCACGAACGCACTCTGAAGAATACTTACGGCACTGTTTATGAGCTACTTCCTGTAATGTTATAATCTGTTTTGACAAAAAACTTATTTTATAAAAAATTTTTTGTCACAGAAAATCTTGATGACATTTTAGGAAGCCTAGGATCCATAATATTTAAGTGGACCTGTTTTTATCATACTCTCAAATCCAACAAGTTGAAAGAAGAATGAAGATAAAAGTAAGTCTTCAGCTAAGAAAGGCTAATTGTACTCTCCTCCTATATTGAAATTCCTTATCAGTGAGGCTCACGTTTTTTCATTTTATTTATTTTTTTCATTTTTGGCCATTTACAGTTCTTATGAATTATGTTTTTTTTTCAAGATTTTATTTATTTGAGAGAGAGAGCGCGAGAGAAAACACAAGCGGGGGGGGGGGCGCGGGAAGGAGCAGAGGGAGAGAGAGAAGCAGACTCCCCTCTGAGTGGGGAGCCCAATGTGGGGCTCTATCGTACCAGGACCCTGAGACTATGACCCGAGCCGAAGGCAGATGCTTAATGGACTGAGCCACCAAGGAGCCCCAGTGTACTGATCTTTTTGTTAGAGATAGTATTTTCGTACTTAGGGATAAACAGTATTTTTTAAGTAGTCAAATCTTTCAATCCTACAGTTATATTAGATGTTTCAAAAGTAATAAACATGCATTACGTTTTATTAAAAGAACAATTTGTAAAAATACTAACCTATGAAATAACATAGGTGACTTTAATCTCAAGTTGGAGGTTGAAACAGATGACACACATCAAATGTAACAGAAGCACTCAACATGGAAAGGCTGAAGCCCAATCTCAGATCCCTCCGCCCTATAACCATGGCTAACAGTTCAGGATACATATCTCCAATTTTTCTACGTCCCACCTCCACTATCTGTTAGCTGTGTAACCTTGGGAAGTGACTTAAACTCTCATCTCAGTTTCCTCACAGAGTTTAAAGAAAAAAAACTTCCTTTGTTTTCTGAAACATTCACTTCAGCCAATTTTAAAGACTAGCAAACAAAGCCTCTATGCTGAATATTTTGAGATGTTGTAAAATAGCTTCAATAATAATTCGTCTCCATCTTCTCTCCCAACTAAGCACACACATCACTTAAAAGCAAGTAAGCGCCATCCACGGCATGGCCTGATATTGTCTGGGGTGGGGGAAAAGGGCAATTTTATACTTTAAATGATTTAAAGGTCATAAAATAAGGAAGGAACACGGGACTTCCCAGATAATACAGGAAAATTGTAACGGTGAATATAATTTTTTTCTCATTATTTTGAATTTTATTGGGTTGATGGGAAAAATGGAACTTTTTGAGGGCCACGTTGTTTTAGAATTTGAAAAGGTCAATTTAGTAGACATAGCCTAAGATCGATCAATCAATTACACCTCAAGGCTGAATGGAGTTCTATGACAGAAGTGTTCAAAATATTGTCAGGTTAATGTTCCCAGATTAAATAACACGTAAGTCAGAGTATTCTATATAATAACAAATGTGAGTCAGTGCCTTGGCTCACAACCTCTAAAAGAAAAACTGGGGAACTGCTGGCTAAAAAAATGAACCCGACATCATCAGAAGTCACTGCTAGAAGGTTGAAAATCTGTCAATTTTTAATCTCCTCCTGTATATCAGGAGATATTCAGAGGATTGGAGGTGTAATCTTTGAGTTGCCCATGTGTGATATGGCAAGAATACCTAGCAAAGATTTACCATGTGTATAAGAGTAACACGTTTCCCTTAAACTCTTCCTATTGACCACCATCTCCTCCAATTGAATAGGAATTATTTCATTATCAGGATTAATCAAGAATATGTGTACCCAGAGACAGTTTTTTATAATGCTTAATTACCTTTTCTTAAAATGCAAATATCAATAAAGGTTCTCCAAGAGATTTCTTTCGTTTATGTCTATACTGATGGTTCTCTTTTGGGAGGAGAGGACAATTTTGCCCATAAGGGTTGATTTGATGATACCCAGAGACATTTTTGGTTGCCACCCTGGGGAGAGGGGCTGCACCTGGCATCTAGTGGGTAAGAGTCCAGGGATGATGCTAAATGTCCTCTAACATACAGGATGCAGCCACCGCCCCTGCAACACCCCTCCCACCCCCACAAAGAATTATTAGGTCCCAAATGTGAACAGTGCCAAGACTGAGAAACTCTATAGTCTACACATATTATAAAAACCCAATGCCTAGAATGTGTTTTCTAATTAAATCTGGACTTAACTGCATGCTTTCGGCCCAAGAATTATCTAAAGTTGAGCTCACAAGTATATTCAAACATTTACAAATACAAACCATTATAAAAATAAACCAGTGATCAAAAACAAAAATTATAAAGCCATTATAAAATGAATTCTACATCTGTCTAAGTTTCTCCAGTAGAAAAACAACACCCTTCAAAGTACAGTGGGAAAATTTAAGACTTGGAAAGTCAATCTACTCCCATTAAGACTGCTTTACAGAAAGATGCTAAGTACTCTGAAAAATAAAAAGATGCCAATTTCCATGGAAACAATCACCCTCCCCAGCTACAAGCTTTTATAGTTGCAAAAAAGGGAGCCAGAAAGATAAAGACACACATTACTAATTGCAATCTAGTTCTGTAATATTCCTTGTCAATTCAGTATCATGCTTTAATTTTGCCCTTCAAGAGAACTTACCTGCAGAGTAAGTTGTAAAAACAGAGTTTATCTAAAGGCTAACTATTTTGCTGTACAATTACTTTTTTTTTTTTTTTAAGATTTTAATTTATGTATTTGACAGAGAGCACAAGCAGGGGGAGCAGCAGGCAGAGGGAGAGGGAGAAGCAGGCTTCCTGCTGAGCAAGGAGCCCGATATGGGGCTCAATCCCAAGACCCTGGGATCATGACCTGAGCCGAAGGCAGATGCTTAACCAACTTAGCCACCCAGGTGCCCCTCGCTGTACAATTACTACTGATCCAACATATCAAAGTCATGTATAATTTCAAGCACAATGAAAATGCACCTGAATCCCAAGTGTATAAGATGCTTTTTATCATTTCAGTTTCCAGAAAATAGACTGAATTTAAGCATTGTCATTTCTCTTTTCCCTAAACAAACACAAGTGATTTGATAGAAAAATGTTCACATGACTTACAATTTTGTCTGACCCATAGATCTTCTCCAACTGTTCAGCAACATCCCTTGTTCCATCTGGGCTTCCATCATCTATGATTATAATTTCGTAATTGATTCCACTAAAATAAAAAACAAAATGAAAGTTTGTATTGTTTGGAGACTGTATTCTCAAAATAAGAAAATAATTTTAAAATTACTAATTCCTCATCAGTATAAGTGGGAATTTATTGTCATATTAATCACTACGGAAAACTTCAATTACCAAATGAAATAAATGTCATTTAGTACTTCACCTCCAAACTCAGCGTGTTGCTGAAAAATGCTGTAATGAAGTCCTGAGATGTTAAAAAATTCTCACACAGAAAACATACTCGAGTTTAAAAAATCACAGCAGGGGCGCCTGGGTGGTTCAGTCGTTAAGCGTCTGCCTTCAGCTTGGGTCATGAACCCAGGGTCCTGGGATCGAGCCCCGCATCGGCCTCCCTGCTCAGTGGGAAGCCTGCTTCTGCTTCTCCCTCTCCCTCTCCCACTCCCCTTGCTTGTGTTCCCTCTCTCGCTGTGTCTCTCTCTGTCAAATAAATAAAATCTTAAAAAAAATAAAATAAAAATAAAAAAATAAAAAATCATAGCAATTGTATATTATATATGATAGGAATATCATAAAATTTTACTTACCTACTTTGGAAATGGAATTATAGGAACTTAATATCAATCTTGGTTATAAAAAATATTTCAAAAGTACATTTAAAAGATCTCTCAAGTTGACTGAATTGCTAAGTGAATATTCTTTTAAATTTAATTCCAAATAGATTTGAGTAACATAAGGAACAAATCAGATTTCATTTCATCCTTTAAAAAATCCTCTTTAAAATGGTGACATATTCTCTTAACACCACTATTTCAAATAGTTGTACCCATTACCTCACACTATTACGTACAAAAAGCACAGAGAAATACATAAGATTTCAATGTGCTTCAAAATGAACATCTCTCTATTGGTTTTCCATTAACTTTGTTACAGTTTCTATTCTAAGAACAAGCCAACACAATACTTGGTTGTATATGTTATCACTATGTTTCCCCCACCTCAGTTTAGATTTTTTTTTTTATAATTTTATTGGAAACTTAAGAAGCAGAAAGTAAAGCACAGCAAAACTCCCACAACACTGTTTCCTCTTTGTCCATAGTAAAAACAAATATAAGGAAATCAACCAGAAAACACATTCCACTGTTAAAGGCTTAAAAAAGTCAGGCCCAGCAAACTAGGAAGAAAGCTAAACTCAGCCTGTTAAGAGGAAATACCAGGACTTCAGCTCCCCGAGGTGCTTTAATTTGGGCAACTGCTTTACAAGCCAAAATATGTAAGATGTTGATTCTGGTTGATATGCTGAAAGAGATATACTTCATAAACAAATGAAGTCATTCATTAGCAAATTATACTTTCTCTCACTTCAACGTGCCCAGAACACCTGAGGGTAAGGTAGTCTAAAGGAATCCAGCTAAGCTGCCTTTAATTTGACCACATCTGAAAAGAAAATCGTTTCCTTCTTTAACCTTCACTCGGGTTAAAGCAAGAAATATTTGAGACTCAGAGGACCAACTGAACAAGATCAACTATATGACAATTTCTCTCATGTGGAAAGTGCTTATAGAAACCAAGATAAGAAGATAACTAAATAAAAGAGGAAAAAAATATGAATTAAAAAAAAACTGTGAGGAGCCATGCACATTATGATAATTATGTCATTCAAAGAATTATAGTCAAAACAGCAATGTTTTTCACCAATTAGCATTTCCAAAAATATAAGTTTACTAAAGCCCGGGTTGACTGGGTGGTGGGGAAACAAGCACTCTCCGAATAATGCCAGTCCTAAGGCGGTACAATCATTTTTTTTTTTTTTTGCGAGCAATTTGGTAATAACTGTCAATCTTAAGCACATCTGTTGACCCGGCAATTCCATCCTCAAGACTTTATCCCCCGTACACTAGTAAAAGTACGAACGTGTTTGTTGCAACATTGTTCTAAAGGAGCATTCACTATGTGTCCAGCACTTTTCTAAATGGTGGAAAATAAGGGGTGAACAAAGTCTCTGTTTTCATTTATAAAGCAAAAGTCAAAAAAGAAAAAAAAAAAGCTCTAGAAATAATGTGTTCACTGGGATGACCCAGTTAGTTAAATTATAAGTCATATGGAATATTATCGAATTAAAAAAAAATAATTTTCCAAGTTGGTGTATGTTGATCTGGAAAAATCTTCAGGGATCTATACATGATCCCATTGGTATAACCCTAAAACAAGTAACTTCGTACTGATACCAGGATTCCGAAATTTAAAAAATATTGTATAACACTTTCAAATTCAAACTCTAAAAGCCCTAGTTTCTAACCACCACATCAAACATCCACTAGTGACCAACGAAGTTGCCCAGCCCAGCAGCAGCTCCCTAACCCACAGAGATCAAACCTCATGCTTACATAAGCACTCAGCACGGGGGCGGGAGTGAGCGTGCTCATTTAGACTCCCGGCTCCTGCCGCATCCTGACCATCCAGAAGTAGGAGTGAGGTCAAGCTTTGAACCTCGCTCCAAGTCAAAGGATGCCCAACCCTACTTTTTAAAAAAGGGGGGGGGGCAGCCGGGGGGGAGGGAGGAAGGAGGTGGTGGGAAGTGTACAATAAGGGAATGTCTCACAAACCCAAGGGCAGGAATGAACCCGAGACACGGACAGAACCCCAGAAGTATCCGCCTCTGCTTTCTCCAAGGGTGGCCTTCTCCCCAAGGATTCCCTCAAGAGCCGAAGGGAGGCCGCGCAGGGCCGCCTCGCGCAGCCAACTGCCGACACCCAGGCCGGCGAAGCCAGCTCATCTCATTCCTCAGGGAGGGCGGCCGGGCACGCTACCTCTCGGAGAAGCTTTTCACCAGCAGCCATACGATGAGCGGTAGGTTCTCGCGCTCGTTGTAGGTGGGCAAAAGCACTGAATACTTGTCCTGTCGCGGGGCGCGCCCCTCCGGCTCCCGCCGAGACCTACGAGGACTACCGCTCGCTTCCTCGGAGGCCATGGTGGAACTGCGCGAGACGCCGGAAACGGAATGACGTCCCGCGGCGCGCGGGAAGGGGATGGGTCGGACCGTACCAAATTCAGGAAGAGGGGGTACAGGCTATTTGGTTGGGTCCTAGTTCTCCTAAGGCTCTCTTCGTGGTTCCATTGGAAATATCCAGGCACTATGAATCTTTAAAGTTGAATCTGAGGGTTTCTCCAGGAAGTACATGTTTACTTATCACTTTTTCCTATGCTCCGTAAAAATTTTTTAGTTTATTCCAGTCGCTAGGAGACGCTAAGCCGGAAAAGGAAATGCCTTTCAAGACAACTTCCGAGAGGGGCGCCATGGCTTCTAGGGAGGAGGTGCTCGCCTTGCAGGCTGAAGTTTCCCGGCGTGAGGAAGAGCTAAGTTCTCTGAAGCAGAGGCTGGCGGCGGCTCTTTTGGCGGAGCAGGAGACAGAGAGGTTGGTTCCGGTGTCGCCCCTGCCGCCGAAGGCCGCCCTGTCTCGAGATGAGATTTTGCGTTACAGCCGGCAGCTAGTGCTGCCTGAGCTGGGCGTGCACGGACAGCTGCGCTTGGCCACCGCGTCCGTGCTAGTCGTGGGCTGCGGTGGGCTCGGCTGCCCACTGGCGCAGTACCTGGCAGCGGCCGGCGTAGGCCGCCTTGGCCTTGTGGACTACGACGTAGTAGAAGTGAGCAATTTGGCCCGCCAGGTGCTACATGGCGAGGCGCTGGCCGGCCAAGCCAAGGTCTTTTCGGCCGCCGCCGCGCTGCGCCGCCTCAATTCTGCGGTGGAGTGCGTGCCCTACGCTCAGGCGCTTACGCCAGCCACGGCGCTAGACTTAATCCGCCGCTATGACGTGGTGGCTGACTGCTCTGACAACGTGCCCACTCGCTACCTAGTTAATGACGCATGTGTGCTAGCCGGCCGGCCTCTCGTGTCAGCCAGCGCCCTGCGCTTTGAAGGCCAAATCACAGTGTACCACTATGACGGTGGGCCTTGCTATCGCTGCATATTCCCCCAACCACCTCCAGCGGAGACAGTGACCAACTGCGCGGATGGCGGGGTGCTCGGTGTCGTAACTGGGGTCCTGGGCTGCTTGCAGGCACTGGAAGTGTTGAAGATCGCAGCAGGTCTGGGTCCGTCTTACAGTCGCAGCCTGTTGATCTTTGATGCCCTCAGAGGACAATTTCGCTGTATTCAGCTTCGGAGCCGCAGGCCTGACTGTGCAGCTTGCGGCGAGCGGCCCACTGTGACTGACCTGCAGGACTACGAAGCCTTCTGTGGCTCCTCAGCCACTGAGAAGTGCCGCTCTCTGCAGTTGCTGAGCCCAGAGGAGCGAGTTTCGGTCACCGACTATAAGCGACTTCTGGATTCAGGCTCACCCCACCTGTTGCTGGACGTCAGGCCTCAAGTGGAGGTGGACATCTGTCGTTTGCCTCATGCCCTACACATCCCTTTGCAACATTTGGAACGGCGGAATGCGGAGAGCCTGGAACTCCTAGGAGAAGCAATCCGGGAAAGGAAGCAGGGCACACAGGAAAGGGTAGCTTTCCCAGTTTATGTGATTTGCAAACTTGGCAATGACTCCCAGAAAGCCGTGAAGATCCTGCAGTCCTTGACAGCAGTCCAGGAGTTAGAATCTTTAACAGTTCAGGATGTTGTGGGGGGCCTCACGGCCTGGGCTGCCAAAATCGATGGAACATTTCCGCAGTACTGAGGTGGATGGGAGAGTCTGACCTGAGGCAGATGTGGATTGCCATGTTACCCAAAAGATACATTTATTTGCATTTTTTTTCCAGGAATGCATAGAAGAGACTGGGATTGTCCAATAACTGAATACATGGACTTTTTATTAAGGGCTTTTTTGTTGTAATGTTTTGGATGCTGTTGTTATTAATGGGTTTTATTTTTTTATTTTTTTTTTAAAGATTTTTATTTATTTTTTGACAGAGAGAGACAGCGAGAGAGGGAACACAAGCAGGGGGAGTGGGAGAGGGGGAAGCAGGCTTCCCTGCGGAGCAAGGAACCCGATGTGGGGCTTGATCCCAGGACCCTGGGATCATGACCTGAGCCGAAGGCAGTCGCTAAACGGCTGAGCCACCCAGGCGCCCCTATTAATGGGCTTTAATACTGTTTCTGAGAACTGTCTTGTGTTTTCAGCACTTGAAAGATGTCTTGAACATGTGAGTTATAATGTTAAGTGACAGGATTTTGTGTTTTGACAGGTCATTTCTCTGTTCTGCTTTTTTCCCACCTCCCCCAATCAAAAAGTACTTTAAATCATCTATTTTTATGCTTGGAAAGGTGTAGTAAACTTAGTCTTCCTGAATTGATCACAGATGATATACTTAAGGTCAGTTTATTGTTCGCTAAGACATTGTTTGGGTCTTCTTTCTGTTTCAAATGATAGAATATATTCTACAGAAATGTTTAAAATGTAAATTATTTTAATTATGTGGGAAAGGGTCATTCTATTAAGTATTTGAATTAGTATCAGAGTGAGATATTTAGTAAGATAAAGGAAACCTCCTTTGTAGTCTGTCAGTTTCTCTTATAAATTGCTGATTTAAAAAAAAAATTTCTTACAGTATTGTACACACTGTATACTGTGGTTTGGCTTGCTTTGGAATCTTCAAGCCTAAGTCCCAACCTTCTGCTCTCCCCTGCCCTTTATTCCTAATCCAATCTGTTATTTTTTTTTTCTTGCTTTACTGGCCAAGTACACCAAATGCAATATTGAATTAAAGTGGAATAGTAAGCATTCTTATGTCCTTCACGATCTCAGGTGAAAAACTTTTGACTATTTGGCCAATATTACTTGTTATTGCTTTACTGTAGCTACAACCCTTTATCAGATTAAAGAAATTTCCTTCCTTTTATAGTTTGCTAAGTTTTTGTTGAATTTATCAGGTGCTTTTTCTGCATTATAGGCTGCCTTTTTCTCTTTGTTTAATGCAGTGGATTACATTGATTCTATTTGGTGGCAAAACACACACACACATACACACACACACAATTTCCCCTCTCAGTAACTTCCAAGTGTACAATACAGTATTGTCAACCACATGCACATGGTGTGCAACATCACAGAACCTTCCATCCTGCATGGCTGAACCTTGACACCCACCAAACCACTCCCCAATTCTTCCCTTCAATTTGCCTTTTCTATTTTATTTCATCTATTTTATTCCCATATCTTATAGTAGTACACAATGTAGGTGTTTTTATGTTTACTTATTAACATTTTCATGAAATGGCAGGTCTGCGTAACTTCTATACAGAATTAAAAGCAAAGATTTGGTCGGTATCCATGGCAAGTTGAAGAATACCTGCCATGTCAAAAGGGCCTCCACTCTCAGCTGATTGTTGCGTGCAGGTCTATAATCCTCAGAAATCACGGATGTAAATGTGAAATCTTTGTATCTCTGGCTACAGTTTTTTTAAGTTTAACAGCTTGTGGACAAGACAAAACCCTTGCTGGTCAGATTACTCAGTTTGCAACCTCTGATATAGACTCTTATTTTATCATAGAAGGATGGTATTATTTAACACTCACATTCAAAATTAGGATAGTCCTTACCTTTTAACTGTGAAACATTGTAACCCATGTTTTGAATGGGTATGCCTCAACCTTTTTTGTAAAGATGGAGCAGGTTTCTTGGACTGTTTTTCCCAAGGAGTTGTGGCAATAAATGACCGAGACCAGGAGAGGAGAGTAAAGATGGCTGGCCTGCGTCCCAGCTTCTTACTACCAGGACAAAAGCCGCTTCTGATACATACCAAGAAACAAAGGGGACTGACATGGGAACTATTTCCTATTCTAAAGACTGACGTCCTAAAGTTAAACAGTTTAGGTAGTTCCTGCAAACTTGGTTCTCAATAGGACAGGCAACAGAAGACGACAAGAGGGAAAGGGGCTTATTAAAGTAAGACGGTGCTTCTGAGAATTTTGGGGACAGCCTTAAAGCTGTAATTCCAGGAGTGATGCCCCAAACCATGCACAGAACTGACCTGAGAACACTTTCTATGCTATGCTGCCCCATCTAGCACTAGAGGAAACTGCTAGCATAGTCTCACTGCTCTCCCAGAAAGCTCAGAACTTTAGCCACTGCTCAGGGGACAGAAAGCAGAATCGCTTTACATCGATTGCTCTTCTGATTCAGTCTTCTGAGGTGTGTCTGGTAGGGAGAGCCTAGTCACATGACTCCGTCTTACCTGCAAGAGCATCTGGGAATTTGGGTCCTGACATCTACAACTGGGAGACAGAGCCCAATCTGGCATTTTCTCAAATTAGTGAAAGATTTTTTTTTTTTCAAAAGTTGGGATGTTAGTATGACCGGTATCTGTTACAGGATCCAAATTTTTTTATTTGAAATTTTGTTTTCTCTGGGGATTGTGGCCAGTTTTTTTACATTCAGATGGGATTTTTAACTGGATACATAATATTTTCCTTTTCATTTAACAGACATGAAGTGTACCAGTTACTATTCTAAACTCTGGGATATAGATGAACAAGAAAAAAAAAAAAGAACAAGAGATTTCCTATTTTGGAATTTACATGTAAATGGGGGGAGACAACAAATAAATTAGTGTTAAGTGTCATAAAAGAAATGAAACTGATGTATTGGGGTGGAGATGTATTTTGGGTAGATTAATTAGAGGAAAGCTCTTTGCAGAAGGGTTAACATGAAACCCAGAACCTAAATGGTGATAAGGAGCCAGTTAGATTTGGGAGAACCCCCCCCAACTGGGAGAAAAACAAGTGGAAAGGCCCTGAGGCAAATAAACTTACAATGTTCGAGAAACTGAAGAGGCAAGTGGGTTGTGAACAGTTGAGGAAGGTAGAACAAGGTGAGGTTTATGGAGATTGGGAACACATCAAGTAGTTGTAGACCAGAAGTTTGGTTTTTATTCCAAGTGAAATAACAGCTAACATTTATTGGGCACTTACTATGTGATTTGGAACTTGAACCCAGATGGTCTGGCTAGAGAGTCCATGCTCTAAGCAATATACTGTACTGATTCTCAGTGAGAACTTTGTACTTGTTTTATAT